AATGAGTGAGTGAGTAACTTCAAATACTAGATATTAGTATACATTTAAATTGTGTAAACTAACTTCATATAGAGAAACTTGTTTGTGACCTATTTTTCGTTAAAAAGTATTTCACTTCACATCACTTCAAGTGTGTGTACCACTTATTATATTTATTTGTGTGTAGAATATATATATGAAACTATTGAAGACAATCATGATGGGAAATTTGCCTTAGTTCGTTTTCGAAAGTTCAACTCCTTGAAGTTTGAAGTGAATATTGGGTTTAGAGTTGTGCTTAGGAAATATCAGCCTTTTTTTAATAATTATGAAAGTTGTAATCGTTTGTTTTGATTTGCATTAGTTGGCCACACTGAAATAAAACTTTACTATAAAATGTAATCATCAATCAGTCATTGTTAGACCACCATTAGAAACTTGGAAGCACTGGAAGGCCGTTTCGTCCTAGTATGGGACTCCTCAGCTGTGCGCATCCACGACTCCTGCTCTTCACAGGATTTGAACCCGGGACCTTCGGCATTGTAGGCGTACGCCTTACCATCGGAACACTGGGCCGGCGTCCAACGGTGTTAATGTCTAACTCTGATTGATCTAGGGATTTTGCGCGACCTCACCCATTTGTCTTTGGTAGTTACTGCCTACACCCGACAGGGTTGAACTCTACTGGTCACTAGTTTCTAAATAATATGGTATCCAATTTTTTTATTCACGGGAAAATTTGCAAGACGCTGCGAATAATAATGAGGATTTATTATGATCACTTTCTATCAAGAATTCTTTCGTAAATTACAATTACTTATGTTTTATTCATTTATTTTTGTCAAATTCAGTCTCTTTCTTTTAGTTTACAAGTCTGTTTTAAAAACCTTTCTTAACAGTAGCTCTCTTTCCTCAGTCCACATACTTCTCACTAGTGTTGTATAACAAAATCTTGAAAAAAATCATTGTCTTTCTTAACATATTACTAACTTTATTTAGCATTCTCTTTTGCAGAAAAATACACGAATAATGTGTCACTTTAGTAAAAGATTTTAAAACCTAACTGATCTGAACTTCCAGTGATAATTAAGTTAGGAAAGTGAACCCGGTTTTGTGTTTCTCTGTACTGAATTCTATAGGGTATGTATGCTTACAATTCACTGTTTTATTTTTATGGTTCAGTTAAAATCAGATAATGAATAAAGTTTTGTTCCAGTTTTAACTTGTGTTACGATATTGATCGTAATGGGGAAACTTATTTGTGTTAAATTCGTTTATTTTTCGTTCAAACTGACATCACAAACTGTTCACGTGATTTTATATCCATATTAATCTTTGACCTCAAAGACTTATTAGGTTAGAGAAGTGAATGAACCTCAAGTTGTATGAATTGATCACCCCGAATAAAATGATTAGAAGAGATTGAGTGTATAAAGAGCTTTATTTGATGTTATCTGTTTCGTACTCTATGAAGTCGCATATATGTATATCTGGATTATCATTACAATGTTTAGTCAAACAACAAGAATACTTGAATTTCCAAATATTTAGAGGTTGACACGGACAAAAGGATTAGAAATTTCATGAAAATACATGAAAACCGATAAATATGAAATCGGATTACTTAAAGTGGTGAAACAAATTTTGAAAGGTTTCATATCTGTACTTTTATCTACAAATGTTTTGGGAGCTTAACACTAATGACAAGAGCAGAGAGATTTGCAGTTCTTGAATGTCGTAAAACAATCAAATTCATCTATTTTGATCTGGATCTGGCTAGAGAGTTTCATGAACATATTGTTCAACACAGATTTTCCCTAGATAACTCAGTAACACTCAATTAGTAATTGTTTCTGCAATTTTTCAGTTTTATTCGTCATGGGTGAATAAATGAAGCAACTCAGCTTCCTTACTGGTAGTGGATCAAAGATTAAGATTCGGTTAACGGAAGTTAATTAACTAAATTTCGAGCGCTAGTTACAATATTTTTCCGACCGTCGCTGCTACCATGTTGTTGCGGTCGGGCTTGCCTATCGTGATGACTCGATTGAGCTATATTGGCTGGAATATATATTCCTGTAGGTTTTACCAGGCAAGGCAGGTCGATTGGAGAACGATGAGACTAAAAGCAGCTACCCAAGGTCTGAGGGCGAAGTCGTGCTGTTGAATGCAGAGAGGTGTGACAGCAGTAAGGTGTTTCCCTCGGACAACCAGCATCTGCAGCGATGCTGCCTTCTCCCAACGGAAGGAAGGGGTTATAAAAAGTTGACCCCTCAAAATATCACACCTCACTTTACCTCATGGATTTCCATCTACAGCGGTACGGCCACTTGAAGAGCGGATCTAATAGTTTAAAAGCTTCCAATAAAACGGCTGTGAGTGACCGGCCTCAAGAAGTTTTCCGTTTGGCTCTATAGTCACTATTCTGGGTCTCTATGACCGACACTAATCTCCCTTCTATTTCGGGCTACTCAAAAACACCCTATCACAGTGCGGGCAAGTAGGAAGTGACATCCACCTTCATACTCGTAAACGCACACGAAACCAAACTGGTCGCAATCGAATCCTTCCTACACCACCAAAAATCTCTCTTATTTCTATGACTCACTCTTCCCACATTTTTTATCACCTCGCACCGCTGATGCAAACTATTCGGGCTCACGAAACACTATTCAAGGTCTCCTGAAACCCCATTCTGAACTACATGTTGGAGCTTTGATTGTCCAAACCTTGTATTAAATAGGGCAACAGGTTTCGTCAGCTAGAACTCTGAAATTCCGGGCCAACAATGTACGCTGCGTCTTCGAAATGCTCTTACAGGGTCCAAGTACAATCAATAATTCGATTTCCTCTACCCAGATACAAAATGTACTCGGTTCACGCTTCGTGTATTTGGGAGCACTGCTGTTGCTTACCGTGGCCTCATTGGTGTAGGTCTCGTATTAAACCCTAAGCCAGAACTAGGTCTCTTAGAGTGGACCCCTGTAAGTAGTCGCTTGTACGCTGTTCGCTTAAACGGGACGGTAAGGTCTCGGAAAGTTAGGGAATAGAGTATTCCGATCACATAGCTTTAGATTGTGAAGTCGTTGAGGAAATGCATAGCCTCCTGAACCCCTTAGACTTAGTACAATTTACCGAAGTTTTTCTCCTAAATTCTCAGCCACCATCGGTTAAAACGTCCTTCCTGATCCGAGCTAGGCACGCAAAACTGTGGTCAGTAGCATTATCTGCCAGGATATCAAAAGAAAACGGGTAGCAATCAATTTGGTGTATTACGGAATGCCCGAGCAGTTTATTCGTAGCTTAGGATGAGGCTCACACACGTCATTTACAACAATGGCAATGGAAGTCATGTGGGATGCGTCTTCACACCACCATAACAATTAGCATTTGCCGGCTGCCTTGTCCGTAACATTTCTCGAATATCAGATCTCCGTGCCCGAGAGCTGTGAACGACTTACAATATGGAAAAATCCCCTCAGTTCTCATTTATATACTGTACATGTGACATAAACAACTTCCATACTCCACTGAGGTCTGCTCCTGAATGAATCCTCAGATTGTGAGTGCACGAACACAAGGAGCCAGGGCAAAAGAAATTCTTTCATCTCAACGAGGATGAGGTGGAGCAATCACATCGGAATTGTTTTCAACTCATTTTAAATCATACGCAGCGCCTCACCGGGAAATTCACAGTGTTTTTATACTCTCTCCTAAAAAGTGTAAGCTTATCAATTTTTATACTCGAATGCGATTAAGAGTTAACTTTACTCGGTAAACGTGTGCGAGACAAATTATCCAGTAACACTGTAGGCAATTCTGATTCGATGGTCTCCTGCCCTGCTATCTATATAAAAAGTATTGATAAGGTGTAGAGCGTGTATTCTACAAGCACCCAGTAAATATGAGGTTGAAAACCACACAAATCGAGTTTATTTATACATGATAGAAAAGTCGTCGTGGGAGACACAAAAGCGGCGTGCTGAAATAGTACATCAACCAATGACAGTCAAGGATTTTTCGAGTGGGAAATGTGATCTCAGGGTCGACTGAGCGCCTTATGCGCGAAAACACAAAACCAAGTTCTGTGGATCTAACGCCCCCAAGAAAACTAGACATAAATCTCTTAACCTGATTGGATAAACGGAAACCGGAGTGGGTAATAAGGTTTAAGAAACCTTACACGGAATGATTTCAACAAATGATAATGTTCTTGCTGAGTTGCATGAGAAAAAATAGTGATTTGGTGACACTACCTAGACACCATTACATAAGTGTTCTACTAGTACATCGCCACGTTACTCTATCGAGGCAATTCCCGAAAAAGTGCACATCAGAAAGTAAACACTCGGGTGCACTCTAACTTTTCTCTTCAAGAGTAGTTTCAGATGAAACCGTCTCTCGACCAAAATGAAATCAGCCCTCTCAGTGAGTATCTTCGAGAAGGGGCCGAAGTAACCACAGCACTCGCAATGAATAACTCTATGAAGAGTGATCAACATGTATTCATGTAGAGATCATCATCTCACTTTTGGATCACCTCTACTTGATGCTAGTTGTCATTGTTGTAATTTCCTCAGATAATCAACCTGTTCTATCTCGCTTATTATTTCTATCTCCACTTACTTACCCACACTATTATTATCTAGCACAATCAACACTACCATTTAATTGATTTACAAAATTATTTACATAGTTCTGCGATTTTCCACTTCTGATTAGCTTTACAATTTCCTTATTATTCTCCATATTGCAAATAACTGGTCTCCAGCCTGGTAACGTGATAGTCGCTTGTATCCAGAAGCCCTACTACACTGAGACAAACTCACTCGCTCAAATCACGGGACATACAAATCCACAAATAACTACCAACTGACTAGAATTACTGCAGTTGAGTGGAAAGACTATCATCCATTTAACATTACCAAATACCTGGAACTGTGCTGAAAAAACAAGAGGGGAGTACGAAGAAATAAACTGATTTGGCTTGTGAAAAACTGACTGGATATTGGAAGTTGAACATTATCCTCTTGTGTAACTTTTTAAAACAGACTCACAGTAATCGGTACCAGTTGGTCGATTCGTTGATGTAAGCTTGTGTAGATATTGCATATTCAGTCCAGATGATGTTTGCACCGTAGCAATTTTCTAATCACTATGTATTTTATATTACAAGTCGAACAAGGAAAAATGTGTTGGTGTAGATAAACGAGCCTTGTGTAAACTGAATTAGCAGGATGACACATAAGACTGTTTTGTGAATAACCGCTCACTTTTGCTTTTAAGACCACAACACTCAATTTTCTAAAGATTATACTGTATTCGCTACTGCTACATGTTGTCTCTTATTTGTGAAGTCCCTGATTGACGTCGTTTGCTGTGGTCCTACTTTTTTCGGCTTATCAGTAAATGCCGATGTCACGTGTTACAAGTGGTTATTTCTACGGTAAAACTCGACCAAAACTAAGGCGAACTGCCCGTAATTCCAACCTAGGCAAGACTAGTACAACCCCTCGAAAATCACTATTACTAGAAACTACGTCAGATTACTCGGCCCGCGTCCGACGCTACGGTTCGATGGGTCAGCAACAGCTGTAGAACTTTTAAGACTTTCCCGTCAGAAATATTCTATGGTCTCTATACAACCGCTATTCGATGTTCCCCAGATCAAACAGACAATCTCCCAGCACCCATAAGTCTAAGTGTCTACTCTTCACATCCCCTGTATCTACGGGTGGCACTTGGAAATATTTCCCGAAATGACCAGGTACCAGTCCTTTTTTTAAGACTCGCAAGTGTATCAGCTCTTCTCGCCTATTAACGTCCAGACGAGGAATTGACTGGACCGTTTCTAGAAGTGGAATTTATCAATAGGGTTCTCACTCGCCTGTTAGTTACATCATAGAAATTGGATAGTAACTTGCTAAGTTTCCTCAAGTAAAAAGAAAAACTCGCCCAAAATCTTCCAATTGTGAGTCAATGAGTTACTCGCTGCTAACCCACTGGCCTTTGATTTCTTAGCTGTACTATCTGTTCAGGACGGATGATCTAAGTGTTCTCCAGTCGGTACACACCTATTTTTCAAATGGGATAATCTGATGTAGTTCCTATTAGTGGTGTTTCCCAACACTTTTGATATTAGTTTGGTACTTGGTTTAGAACCCTCTGAACGACGAGTAACATTCGATGACTTATTATTTTCCCATTTTCGTCATAATGATAAAACTACAGCATGCTGGCAAGGAACAGTTTTCATGACCTTGTGTCACACATAGAATGTGACTGTACCCTTTGGCTTAAAGCAAGTCGAGTTTACGATTTACTTGTTGAGAGTGAACTACTTAAACTACTAAACTAAAGCTTCAATTTGTATAGAAAAGGCAGAAGCTTGTTAATCCTTTCGGGTGATCCCATTTCGGAGTCATATTTTGTCTCAAAACCTCCAGATTAACTTAAGTCTGTCTCAGCTGTTAAAATTACTGTCAGGAGTTAATTATTATCATTTATATATTCACCAAGTTATAGTACGAGTCTCGTGGTATTGACACAAACACATATTACATACATGAATTATTTGATAGCCACCAGCCTAACTTTAACTACTACCTTGACGTGATGGTCGGACGTGGTCATCTAACCGAGTTATATTGACGAGCATAATTTGCTTTAGGTCATACCATGCCAGGCGGGCCGATTGCAGAACGGTAAGGTTAAAAGCAGCAATCTAAGGTCTGAGGGCGAGGTCGTATGGTGACTGTAGAGGAAAAGGTCGACCTTAAAAACATCTTGCTCCATGAATTTCACTTCGAGTACAGAACTAACACTTTCAAATTTTCCCACGAAATGGTCGTGTGCGACCGGCCTCAAACAGTTGCTTCTTGAACTCTGCGGTCACGCTCACAGGTCACTAAAACCAATGATAACTCAACTCTCTTTTCTGGTCCCTAAAAAATACCCTTCCACGATGTTTTCAACCAGGGAGTGACAACCGCCCTCATACACCTAACAGCACACAAAGTTGCCACCAAACATCCTGAGTTTGGAGAAGTTGTTTTGACTGTTCAGTTCCATATATTTGCATGGAATATACGGCATACACCATTCATAACTAGCATCATTTGGTGTCTAATTATAGGGTACTCGTGCAATATTTCTTATCATTTCGAGGCAGTTTTTTCCATAAACTTGGAGTTTTTTTTCCAATTACGTGTAAAGAGTAAACGAATTCAATTTAACCCAGTCTAGTTCTAATTTAAACTATGAATTTTATTTCTGTGAAAGCCGTTACATTTAACATAATTAACTTCTATCGAGTCCTGGTAGCTCCAAAAGTTTGAAGGTAAATCTGATTTTCAAAGACAGTTATTATCTCGCTATACTGTACTACGTGGTTATTGAATTCATAACTCTAATGTAGTTTCTAAATGGATTTGACTGCCTTTCATCTTCTCGATTTACTTTCTGATAAATACTTAATTTTTTAAGGTTCCCTGTACGGCAATTAAATTGCACAAAGAATGCCGTTCAATAAAAATAAAGTACAGGTTATGCCCTCAATATAATTTTACGTGGTCGATTTTTTCGAAATAGTTTTTCTGCTGCTGGATCTCTTCAGCTGACTGATTGCTCCATAACGAGGAGCTCTGTTGAGTTTTTGTGCAGTTACTTACTGAAGATGGTGTAAGAGATATTTTGTTCATTAATATTTGGTTGCCGTTCCAATCGCAACAAATGTAAGGTTTCTATAGATGTTTTGCTTCCCCGGAGGCAGACGACTGTTGTGTTATTAAAAAGAATTCTTTATATAGATAACATTTTGCTAACAGTTATTTTTTGTCTCCCTATAGTTTTTTACATTAGTTTGCTGATCTCTGATGGTCATTAGATTCGTGTCCTAGACAATATTATACCAATACTACTTCATTCTATAAATCTGGTTTACTGAATAAAAGTCATCGAAAAGGAATTTTGATATGTCTAACCCAACCAAACACGACGCTGTATTCTTAACCAGGGAAGAAGCTCGTTCAACCTTACGCTTAGAAGACTACTACGATATTGATAATGAATTTTCAAAGCCTGGATTTCGAACTAGAAATGGCCAGTTCAATTGGCATTGCTCTTGTGTCAGTTCATACATATCTAGTCCTTGTGGACACTTCTTTCGAAATTTTATGCAGAATATTGACAAAGTTTTGAAAAATGATGATGCTTTCGAAAAACAAGGAAATCGAAATTTATTCCTTCAACTTCATTCTCAACTACTAGGATGTTTAAAATCTTATCCAGTATATTATAAATCATTTATGGATGAGTATGCTTCACCATTAGATAGTTTAATAAATGATGTAAAATAAAGTAATTTAAAAAAACTTGATTATTTCTTTTTGTAATTTGAATTACATTTTGAAACAATGAGTTTTTACTTTTTGGTAGTTATTGACTTCTAAATGCAATCTGAAGAAAGATGCGGATTTTTTATGAAGGAAAAAAAGCGACATTGTCGTCAACTTCGTGTCAAGGGTTCAGATTATTGTTTTAATCATATCAGCGTTAGTGTTTGATGTTTTGTCTAATTATTGTTATTTAGGAAACATCTTTAGATAAAGTGGCTTGTCCATTGGATCCAACACAGTAAGCTCTTTTTATCTTCAAACCCATATCACTCTGCAGTTTCGTCAGTCGTTTGAATCTTGAACAACACTTGAAAAAGTGTAACGTGAAGCGTAAAGTTAAGGCTGTAAGCTGTTGTTTAATCATGTTGAATGATTTTAGGTATATGATGTAACTGGAATCAATTCAGCTAGCTTAGGTACTAATAAACTTGTTCCAAAGATCTCGCTAGCTAGTGCCTCTGCAGTTACGGTGTTACGTTTGATAGCACGTTTAGAAGAATTAAATACAGGTCAGATATGATTTTCTGTTGTATGTTTAGCGTTTGTTTCGTTTTTCATTTTATTCAACTGTAAGATTGTAAAATTGTTCCATGTTTTTGAAGCGATATCCGGATTAATTTCCTCGTGGATACGGTCAAATATTCATTCTTTATCGGGTTCTGAAACATAGATATACCTTTCTATTCTCGACTTCGTTTGGTTTTCTTAACTTGAAGGCAGAATCCATCGACTGACTTTGAATAAATCGTTTGGAAGTTCTTTACTCGAACATGTTAAGTTAGAGCTTATGGTTATTTGTCATCAGAGTTAGTGACACCAAATAATACTTCTTTTTAACTTGGTTATTGGAATTGAGGCCTTCATTTGTATTCCTAGGGATTTCCTACCCCTAACAGGAGGTTCTTTTATCGACTTAAAATACTCATATGACAGTTATAATCAATAAAGGTACTCATGTAGCAGTCCTGTGAGTAACAATCCAAGCACATTTTGGATGCGTTTCTCTCTCTCTCTAGATGTAAATGCTTCTTCAGGACTATCCTACACAGTTGCCTAGATCGACCATAGCGGGTGAAGTAATGGAGGTCGTTAACCACTTCACATGTCTTGAAAATCTGATCAATTGATATCTGATGGAATCAGTACGGAATCGAAAAGGTTAGTCGACTCTTACCAAATTATATCACTTGTGGTGCAGACCAGATATCCGTCTTCCAACTGAAGAATGAGTATGTTGCATGGAAATCCGATCTCTATTACTCTACAGTTGTAACATATGTATGAAAGTAGAAGGAATTAATAGGCTCTAGGGTTTCTGTCTTAAGTGCCTTTGAAGCATTGATCATGTCCTGTTGAACAACTGAGTGAGACATATGAAGGCTAGGCATAGATTATGAAGCGATGCTGACAGATCGGTGTAGACGGTTGCGATAAGTACTTTCTATACTCAGCCACACATACATGGACGCACATTGTTAGCCGATATAAGAGTAAACTTGAAGAATGGAATGAGTAATAGACCTAAAATGCAGCATCAGTCCACGGATTTATTGACTATCAGCCTGATATATGTTGGTACGCTCAGACTACATGATCGGGGTTGTTGAGTGTGTTGTTTCAGAGTGCTCAGGATCCGTTTCGATTGTGCAAATTTATTCATTATTTCTCTATCCCTGGGTCTGGAGTTTCAGAATACGGTTTATTTTAAGAATTCTCTCTAAAATCATTCTTTATGTTTGGTCTTTTCCGATTGTCACATCACTGCTTTAGTATATATCTTGACAGTTTCATTTCACCATTCTGTTGGGATGTAGCAACCTGGGAGTATGCAAGTTTATCCCGTGCAATTAAAGTGGCTATCTTAAAATTAAAAACATAATGCTTTAACCTCCCCATGCTAATCAGTTTACTAGAAAATAGTTAAAATTACGTCCAGTTTATTACTAGTCTAGTGAAAATACATTTGGTTGGTCGATTATCATCTGTTGTGGTCTTATTGATAGAGCATTTGAAACTCATTTCTGAAAAGAATAGGAATCACTTATCTCCTAACCTTTTGAAGCCGTCGAGTAGTTATTATTGTATTAGCTGTAATTTTTTAAAACTTTTCCAACTACTACAAATAATAGCTGCTTCATCTGTAGGATAGTTAGCGAATAACTTCGGTCTCAGTTGGCTAGTGTGGGGGCGCACGTTTTGGTAAAACCTACCTCACTATTTATATCTCTGTCTTAGTTTGTGAACTCGTAATTACGCCTATTACCCCCGGTGGAGCATAGGCTGCCAACCAGCCTTCTCCAACCTACTTTGTGCTAGGCCTTTCTTTTTGTTCTGTCCAATTGTTGTTGATTCCTCTCATGTCTGTCTCCATTTCTCGGTGTAATCTGCTCATTGGCCTTGAGGGTCCCAAGTTTGGGCTTGTCTTGCGGCGCAGTTTGGTGCTTTCCTCTTCCACTTCCAGCGTTTCTTCCTCTGCTGGAGTCTGGTTTGTTCTCTCCCACAGTAGGTTGTTGCTGATGGTGTTTGGCCAAAGAACCCGAATTATTTTGCGTAGAAAACTGTTGATAAACACTTGTATCTTGTGGATGATGACTTTGGTAGTTCTCCACGTTTCCGTCCCATTCAGTAAAACTATCATGACATTTGTATTGGAAATTACGACTTTGGTGTTGGTTGATAGTTGCTTTGATTTCGAATCTTTCTGCAGTTGAAGAAATGCTGCCCTTGCTCTGCCAATCTGTGTCTTCACATCTACACCACTTCCAACTTACTCATCAATGATGCTTCCCAGATATGTAAAGGTTTTTACATCTGTCAAAGCGTCTCCATCAAGTGTGATTTGGTTGGTGCATGTTGTGTTGTATCGGAGAATCGATACAACTCACCGTACCGTATTTCCAAATCTTGTAAAACCTATTTTAGCATATATCATTGTACGACTGATATAATAGACTAATTTCAGTATTGATGACTAAATGATTAAGCTTATATGGAATAAATAGAACATGGATATCAGTGAAATCTAGGTAACGCGTTTTGCTCCTATTTGGGACTCGTCAGTTGGATGCGCCTGCATCTTTGAGTTGATGTTCAATCTGAGACTCGAATCCAACAGTGTTAGCTTCAATCATTACTGCTTTATCCACTTACCTACTGAGCCACTCAATTGTATCACGGGTAAGAGATGTAATGCAAACCGAGACTGGTCAAAATATCAACAAGCATTTAAATTGTAATAAATCGATAAGGTTTTATGGGGGGATTGCTTACGCTATTTAATTTATGCGACAGGTAGTGAAGTGCTGTTTGGAAGTAGTAATGTTCCATACATCGAGTATATAAGGAAAGAGAACAATCATACAAGCCATTCTAGGTAATGAGAATTTCGTGTTATATTTTCGTTCCCTAAACTATGGTTTAAATAGTTTGTATTTTTCATGATAATTTGTAAGTGGAAAAAGTTGATTAGGACTAACGTCGAAAATCCAACCAGGTTGGGTAAGTATGATTTCTCCGGATTTACTGCAATGTGTTGCAAATGAATGGCGCACTGTATTTGGTATAAGGTTAGTTACTGACCATCGATTATTTAAAGGTGATTTCATGATAGTGATTAGTGAATAATTCCCAACTTTTAAAAAACCTTTTTGCCCATGAACATTGAAGTGTACCACATCTTACCAACTTTCGTCATCTATAGCGTAGGCGAGTTTCCAGACTTATCAAGGAAATTGGTATTGGAATTCCGACTGTTCGTGAAATTATCTTGGAGAAAGATGGGGTTGCTCGCATACCCGCGGACCACCGAGTAAAGAATGCTGTTGTTAGGAAAGGTGTTACTAGATAAGGATGGCAAATCAATAGGTAGAGTAGTGAATCTTCATCAGTCAAGGTGATCGGGACTGACTGCTTCAAAGAGAGATGTTTTGTGATGTAGGAGTAGGTTGAAAGAAAGCTAGGGGTGGTCAGACCAAAACATGGCACAAACCCATGAAATCGTTGTCCGCTTGACTGACCCATGTAGTAGATGTAGTCTCCTAGGTTGGAATCCGCGAGACGATAGCAACCGACAGTTACAGACTCGTCTGTAATGGCGCATATTTATCCATTATTCATCTCCCAAATTCTAATCTGAAGTCCTCATGTCCTGTTTTCTCGTTTTAAATTTATTTCACTGTATTATACTTCTTGAATACTATCTTCGACCCCTTATCTTTTTCACTATCAACAACACTGCTACAACCTCTACTATTATATGATTTAAATTGACATTTCCAACTCTATGTGGTAATATGGTATGGTAACTTAAACTGATGTACGTACGTACTTACGAAGTTCTACGTTGTAGCTGACTGACTTCTTTTCTTTCCTATATTGCCTACGCGTTTTATTTTACATCTTGAAACAAGACTAGTATGCAAGTTTTGTAACTTTGACTAATTGCTAATTCCTACATTTCATTACTACTGAATGAGACTACTATTCCGACGCAAGGAAGAAAGTAAGATTGTAGAAATTGGCTGATTTATTTTTATTAGTCTCTAATTAACCGAAATCCGTAATAATAAATTTCAGTGAATTCAACTAATAGTTAACTCACAATCTAATAGTGTATGTGTATGTAATTTGAAAAATCATATTAAAATTAAGTTAACTGAGAAATATTGATTCCTTTGAATTATATTTATATTTGTTTACTTCTTAACAAAACCCAATACATAGATTTTGCATGCAGGAACAAATTTGTATTCCCATATCTATTCTAATCAGACTGAGACTACTTTAGATACTTTTGCTTGAGATAAGTCGAAATTTTCGTGTACTATTAATCAGATCAACGCTTGTGACCAAAACAGGTTTCCAACATGATTTTATTCATCAGTCAATCGGTCAGTTACAACGTAGAACTTCATACGTACGTACATCAGTTCAGGTTGTCGTACCGCATCAGCATACAGACGCAACTGTCAGTTGAAATCCAGTAGTGGTAGAGATAGTAGGAGTATTAGCAGTAATGGAGATCAGGGTTCCAAGATATGATTCGTGAAGTATAATTCAGTTTGATTAAGTTAGAAAGAGAAAGATAGAGATGATGAAGAATTCAGAAGGTTAGAATTTGAGAGAACACAAAGAGTGGATACACCTGCACCATTGCAAACGATTTTGAGCCATGTCGTTCAAGGTCTCTAACCATTGGTGACTTTCTGACTTTATTCATAGGTTTTAGGAGATTTAAAATGTGGTTCTCTCTAACATACGTCATAATGTTTTACTACTTATAACAATATCCGAGCTGTTAGTACAACTAACTGATCACTAAAATGTTGACTTCAACCTTTTTAGTATTTGACTTTGCAGCACCATGGCGTAGGTGATTAGTATTACTAACCTTTACATAGAAAGTCTGACTTAAGTCCAAATACTGAAACGCCTGCTTGTAAAGAGTAATAATTACGTTAATTCACCTAATTTGTGGTTAATTAAAACTTTACTTATTAGGTGTCGAGTTACAAGTAGTATGTGAATGTTAAACATAATCATTTCAACAGTACTTAATAGTAAACTGTTCCACAATATAGTTCAGCAGTTAGTAATCATAGGCATAATCCATGGAAATCCTATAATAAGTTACTATCAGTTTACAATGTAATCATACGGAAATCTTTTTCTATCTAGTTAGTTTTTTTTTGAGTTTAGCAAGTTGTTCCCATTTGATTTCAAACATAGTTTGACAACTTGAATATCAAAAAAAATGTACGACTACTTTTTTACATTACTATTACTTTTTCTCAATTTATAGAGTTGAACCTTATTGATCAAATAGAAAATCTGTCAACCGGTGATATTCATCCTCTTATTTCATTCACCATAAATAATCATCGTCATTGGTGTACAAATGGATTCCCTGGATTGAATGAAATCCCAGTTCTTCTACAGTCATCATTGAATATTAATGAAGATAAAGGTAGTTTTAATAGACTACTAATAAAATGACTTCATTATGTTACTATATCTATTGAAATTGGTTTCAAACTAAACAAATAAATATTCAGTGATTGAAGTCAGTCGACAAGAAACCTAGGTCTCTTGCTAATTGGCATACTTTGGCAAGGTGTAGTACCTGTAATCTTGAGTGAGCTGGTTTCGCTTAGTTCATTCAACCTCAATCATCCAGCTTCTCTAGTCTAAGACGTTTGCATCGAGTTACTCTATTAGTAGATATCCTGCTGCACAGTTAGTATATATGCAATTGATTGATCACTTATTAGTGACCAATGTCATGCTTTTATCTAATCCTTTAAGTGGTAATCAAGTTGCACTGTGGTCACTAGTCTAAAGAACCTGAAATATTCTCTGAAATATTTCATTAGTGTAACGTCTTGGGCATTGAACCTGGGTAATGTAAGTTCGAGTCCATTAAAGCAACACTAGCTCACTTAAGATTACAGGTATACCTTTCTGACAGGTGCCAAATAGTCCGCAACTTAGGTCCAAGATTTCCTATCGACAACCGCTTTACATCTCAACTTGGTGTACTCAGTGCTGAGTTACTTGGATCTAAAATCATAAAAACGAGAAGAATGAATACACAGTTTATGGTATTAAATATATTGGTTGTAATTGGTCAGTAATTCTATTTTGAAAGTCATACAAAACAGGACGTTAGTAGGTTAAGTGTTAATACTATAGCAAATTATGTGGATATATAAGCGCACGATCGCATTATCCTTTAGATGAAACAACAATCATTTTCATTTGTGAATTATTTCGGACGCATTTGATTTGTTCATTTCATATTTTATTATCTACGATATATTCGGTGATAGCACTCGTAAACTGGTAATTTTTCCCTTCCGTTAGTCTTTTCATTTAATTGCTATTGTCAGTACATGTAAACTCACAAATCCATTTAGACCTTAGACAGTTATTAATCCATAGTTGAAATCATGAACTGATCTTGTCTGGATCATCATTAGAAACCTGGATGCACTGCTTGATCGTCTCGTCTTAGTATAGGACTGTTCATCAGTGTGCATCCACGATCACACATAGAGGAATAGGACCCAGGACTTGTGGTCCTGCGTATGAACACTTAAGCTCTAGATCACTGAGTGTGCATCCAGTGTCGTTAATGTCTAACTTCAAACAATCTATGATCTTACACAACCTTCATTAACGCCATTGGATGCCAACCCAGTGGTATAAAGCTCAAGTGTTTGCGCGCGAGAACATTGTTCCTGGGTTCGATTTCTTCATTCAGAGTCGTAGATGCACACTGCTGAAAAGTCCTGTACTGGGACGAAACGACCGTCCAGTGCTTCCAGGCTTTTAATGGTAATCTAGCTAAGATCAGTTCGTGATTTCAACTATGACTATAATCCATATTTAACTGGTTTAAAAAGCATTCGTTGTTATATCCTGAAATCAACTGAGTTACAGGGAAGCTAACAAATGTCACTATTTGACACCTTAACCAATAGTAGATGATTATCGTAAATGTCTAATGTTCCCACTTTAATTTTCATTGTAACTACTGTACAATTTATTCGGTCCGATCATTTTATGATATCATAATCTTTTATATGATCTAAAAATATGTCATTGTGATCTATGCACACGTTATTACAATGATTGTACTACTGACTTTCATATATTTTATGTGAGTACATTTAGTTCAGAATTCTATTCCACTTAAAATGGAGTTAATTAAGTTTCTAGATTTCATACAACGCAAACTGATATAAGTTGAGGTACCGTTGAAAAGTAGGAAATACTGAACAACTATCTTGTTCTAGTATGTTATTTCTGGATAGTTTACACACACGATTAGTTAGCTCACTAGTAACCCACTTCAACATTCCCAAAGTTCTAATAAGAAGTCGTAACTGGTGGATTACAGACATGTTGGGGGTAAAGCAATTTACATCGATTGTAATCTTTAATTTTCATGCTACATTGTACCCCACTAGACGTCAATCCAGTGATTATTATTTTTAAGCGTTTGCTGCGATAACTGAAGATTCTCCGGGTTCAATCCCTAGTCTAATCATGTGTGTTCACTACTGAAGAGTTACATACCATGATGAAACAGCTGTCCGGGAACCCTTTGATTACTATTAGCTCAACGAATGAGATCAAGCTGTTGTGAATACAAGCTATAAATTAAAAGGTTTCCTCGAAATTACTGCAACTTATCTAAGCTTGATTAACATTTATTCGCCAAATACGACATGTTGTTTCACATTAAACAAGAAAAAATATTAGGGTAATATACTTTTTCTTCCATTTTTAAGTTGGTCAAGATACAAATATTTCAGATGATAACTTCTCAGTAAATACAGAACATGTGGTCCGTGGATCAATGCGTCATATTTATCAGAATGGGCGTTTGATTCGAGTTTTAGAAAAACAAAATCTTCTTACTACTGGTAGTTTATATCTTGAATTTGGTGCTGGTCGTGCTGGATTATCTCATTGGATTAACAATTGTTTAGCATCTTCTGAATTGGGCTCTCGTTGCTATGATCGGTTTCCAGGTATATGGCCAGTAAAAGCACCTGAAACGAATTTTGCAGTTATAGAACTCAATTCCGTTCGTGATAAGGTTCGTTGTGGTGAAAAAGCGTAATGATACATTTGACAAAGTTGTTTTAAAGTTACTATGTACTAAGTTATTTTTTTGGTAAAATTACAATTTTTAATGCTTGATTTAGATAATATGTCCTATGTTAGCCTGGGTAATCTTTGGAGCTGTTGTGATAATAATCTGGTTTTCAGAGGTCGGACTTAAAACGCATCGGTGATTTAACCTCTCAGTGTTGAGGACACTAGACAGCTCTCTGTTTTTGATAATCGTTGTTTCTGAAGGTTGCTAACACTCAACGGTAGCACCATATTAGTGTTACAGATGTTAGGCAACATATATTCGAGCACAGTAACAATAAACCTATCAGTATCACTATATCGAAACACCGGCTTCAATCGCTTGGACGTATACAACAGATGTCGTCACAACACAATCCACATTATACATTATTCACAAACGCTTAAACTGGTTGGAAAGGCGAAGAAGTGACATGATGCAGTAGTATGAAAAAAGTTGTGTATAACTGACGTATATCGGGCCTTCACAACTCGCTGCCTGTGATCCCAGAAATAATGCAACCTAAAATATGTTATCCGACATGACTCAAAATAGAAACCAGTGATGGTCTTACTGTAATTTTCTTAAAGATATTGAAAGGAACTGTTGTTTTACTCAAAGGGTTCTTTCTGGTTACACTTCCCTTTTATTCACTTTTTACCATTCATATGTTTTTGATTATATATTCACTTTCCTTCCTCTATCTTTTCACAATCTCATTTTCCTTTTAAGTGGTGCATATTTATTTTGTGGTCCATTTGTAGTATGAATTATGTGTTTAAATAATACAACTAATAAAATATACATCACTACCAGTTAATTTCATTTCAATGGTCATCCTTATTTTGTACAGATATGGATTACTTAAAGTAATCATAAGTAGGTACTACGTAAAATTCACTTATTTCTCAACAAATCAAATATCATGATAATCCAATCTGAATGTAAGCCAAGTCCGGAACATCAACTATCTCAAATTTTCTATATACCCCAGTACAAGTTAACTTGATCCACATAATAAGCTTATTGGTTTACATTAGTTATAATCGAATAGTTTAATATGAAAGCTCTAATTTTATACGAAATCATATTTAATCTACTTTCGTCCTGTATAAATTGTTACTTTATATCAAAATTATGAATCAATCCTTGTTAGATCACCATTAGAAACCTGGAAGCACTGAACGGCCGTTTCATCCTAGTATTGGGCTATTCAGCAATGCACATCCACGAACTCCGGCTCAGTACTCTAGAGGTTAAGCGCTCGCGCGCAAGACCGAAGGTACTGAGTTCGATTCCCATGAGCGGAGTGTTAGGACATTCATCTAATATCCTAAAAGAATTATTGGTCAATTCCTATTGGTTAATTCCTACTGGTCAATTTTATGGTCGTCCTAGATATCAATGTCACATGCTCCAATGTTGTTTCTTATTGATTGTCCTGACTATCAATGTCACTTCAAATGTTGCTTCCTATTGGTCGTCTTAACTGTCAATGTCACAGACTTCGATGCTGTTTCCTATTCGACCAAAATGTATAAATACGCATTATCTGTAACGTTTTATGACCAGGACTAGGACTAGGACCCGGTCCCGGATCCCTAGTCCGGGACTCTTATCTTCTTCTGGATTCGGACCTCGTGCTTTCTGGATGCTTTTAGAATACAGGTTCTACTTCATATCAAGTCTTCTTATTTTTACTAAAAATAGGGGTTGGGATAATCGGATTTGAGTAGCATGTCGTGTCGCCGGATCCTTGATCCTCGCTCTCGTTTTTCTGACTAGGTAAACTCGCAATAGTTCAAGCATATCAAAATGACGTGTGTACGTGCAGGCGTAACACGGGTTCGTGGATTCGCACTGTTGATGAGTCCCCTACTAGGACAAAACGGCTATCCAGTGCTTTCAATTTTCTAATGGCAGTCTAACAATAACTGATTCACGATTTTAATGTTAAACAACCATCTCTATAGCTCTGTAATGATAAATTTTTATTGATTCGCATAAGTACTCTGAGTAAAATATTTTGAATACGATCCCATTTAAAATGTTTTTCTTTCATATGTTCTGTAGATGGATAAACGTCAACGTGATGAAGGAAATTTTACACGTATTAGAATAGACATAGCAAATTTGGATCTTAGTAAGTGTTTTTTTTAATTATGACTAGTGAAATTTCTGTTCCGATTCATTTTTTCACTTGAGTAGTAGTACTTGAACTTCTGCGATGTTCAACTTGATGGACTAGAAAATCTGTCGGAATAAAACCAGAACAACATTTGGTCAATTTAAAATCAAACGTAATATTTAAGTTGCTAGAATGTTGTGCTCTAAGTCAGTTTGAATCTCTTTAAATGCCTACTGTTGATTTGGAAAGAAATATTACACAGAGATTACAAGGCTATTTGAAGATATACCTCAAAATCTAAAGGACTCATATATGACTCATATATGTCCTAGAAGTACAAGAGAAAAGGGAGAAGACAGGATCAGTCTAATCACACGACCAGATAACTAGATATTTAAACTTGATTTTCCAAACGACCATAACCGACACATTTTCGGCTCTTCCTAGAAGTTTCGTCATTGGGACTTAATCTTTTGTGATCGACATTGATATATGGATCACTTGAAGACTGGTGTTGAATTTGAGGATTTATCTACCCCAACAAGAACTGTTGAATAGTTTTATTAACGTGCACCAAGTGATTACATTCACGAGCGAAATGATAAACAAAACAGTATAGCTTTCCTTGATGCCCTGATTTCTAGCAAGATAGACGGTACCATAAGAATAAATGTATTTAGAAAAAATACATTGATAGAGGGGCTCCTCAGCAGTGTATAACCATGACCCTGCATTCTTGTATCCAGCTCAAGCCTTTTTGTCAAATAGCCTAATGGTTAAATGTTCACATGCCAGACTGAGAGTCCTGAATTCGATTCTCGAATGTGAAATCATGGATGGGCTATGCCGAGGACTCCTAATACTAGGATCTGATCGTCTTTGTTTTTAATGACAGTTTTTAACCAGCTCGTAATGTATAAACTATGGAAATTTAGAATGTGTTTTTTTTAGAAAGTAATTAATATACGCTTACTCAGTGATAGCGGTTGTATTACAACTGGGTTGTTTCTGTCATCATCTTACATGAAATATACCCTTAAGAATTTATGTTTTTTTTACATGAATTACTATTTTTAAACAAATAACAAGCAATAAATTAGGTTAATGCACTACTACTACTACTACTACTATAAAGCCGGTTGCAGACTTTGAAGTGTATACTTTTTAATAATTTTCCAGCTCGTGTTCCATTGATACAAGAGAATAAAAGACCATTAATTGCTGTTGCTAAACATTTATGCGGTGATGCGACAGGTGAGTGTATAATTTTGTCAATGTAACTTTCAAATTTTGCTAGAAATACAATTTATTATCGATGTATGATTGGTTTAAAATTCATTGTAAAGTGATTCATTTGTTGTTGTAGTTATCTAATTAACTAGTTCCTATGTTTCCCGTGAATTCATTGACAAGTCGGTTGAGTCATGTAGGTAGTTGTCGACTACCTGATTGGGGTAATAATCGATGATTAGAGACCCTGAATGACATGGCTCAAAACCGTTTGTAATGGCGCCGGTGCATTTATTCTTTGTGTTCTCTCAAATCCTAATCTTCTGAATTCTTCAACACCTCTAGTTTTCTTTTTCTTTCTAAACTTATCTCATACTTCTTGAATAATAGCTTCTAATCCTAACCTCTTCGATTACTTCTAATAACTTAACTAGCCCTTCTACTATTGGGTTTGAATTGACAATTACATTTCTGTGCTAATGTGGTATGGCAACATGAACTGATGTACTTACGTAGGAAGTTCTACGTTGCATCTGACTGACTGACTGACTTCCCATGTTTGGTGAGATGTTTGACACTAACGCAGTGTTTGATAACTTTCTTCTATGCATATCAACATATAAACATGTGAATTGGTAAATGCAATGGGATGTCATGTAATAGTGTATGCCCTGTTGCGACCTATGTAGAATTATGGACATAAAATTATGTGCATAAAATTATTCAAAATAAAAACCATGATTAACTGTCTTTTCATTGAGACATTAGTGAGATAGGATAAGCGAAGAAATATTTATTTTTCTGGGATCGTGAATTGATCAATAGTAGACCATCATTGTGGAAGGTCGTTTCAATTTAATAGGAGATTCATCGGCATTGTACATCCATGACCCTGATGATGAGTTTCATGCTAGACGAAGACGGTCATCTAGTGATTTCAGGTTTCCAGTTGTAGTCGAAAAATTGATCAGGTTCTAATTTCAATGAAACTCAACAATTTTCACAACCCTACACTGACAAATGTTTCTTTTCAATTATTTCTTAGTTAAGGCTTTAATATATTTGTTTTATAAATCAGTAAGAAGTCAATGCCAGTGATAGGGAGTGAAGTAGTCGAACGTGTAGACCGCTTCACTTATCTCGGGAGTTTCATCAGCGCTGATGGCTTGGCGACTGACGAAATCTCAGCACGGATACAGAAGGCTCGGTTGGCTTTTGCCAACTCGCGTCCCTTATGGTGTAGGCGAGATATCCGTTTGCCGACTAAAGGATGAGTTTACTGCGCAGTAGTTCGCTCTGTCCTACTTTATGCCTGTGAAACAAGGCCAGTAAGAGTTGAGGATATTCGTAGATTATTGCTATTAGATTTCAGATGTCTTCGGAGCAAGCAATGCTCTCGTTAGGAAACGAGTAATAGTTAGGGATGGCGAAT